GCAGATCTCGTACAAAATGAGCTAGGCAGGGGCGGTCATGACTTCCATCCTTTGAGGGGCTGCGAAGCTCCCCACACGGATCTCCATCGAACTTTAAAGTCGCAATAGGCGACTTTATAATACCAGTTCAATGCAAAATCCTATATGCGCAATTCCCCGGTTTATTGTTTCATGTCGAGTTCTACCCACAACCATAAGCATCAATTCGATGTCTTGCGCCAGTCCCTAATGGGGAGTAGGGCAAGTCTTGAGGGGTCAAGTAGAGATCGCTTTTCAGAACGTCGCTCTATCGCGAATGGTTTTTAATTTTGCTGTTGAGAAGAATAAATATTTTGAGTTTGATTAAAGAAAATATGCGCTAATTGTTCTTGACCTCAAATCTATTTCGAAAAAGAAAGGTAAATTTATTTTTGTAAACTTAGACATTTTAAGTATTTATTTTTATAACTATTGTGCAACGATCATCCTATTTATCATGGTAAAAAAGTAAATTTCGATTTTTATTAGATTATTAATATTTTTAAGAATAATATGTTAGAGAAAAATCCTTTTTGTCTCTAATTATTTTTATGCTAAACTTATATGTCATTGTCATGTTTTATATTCAAAACACCTAACGCCTCTATTCTTAGAATATCTGTAACAGTTTTGGTCCCGCAGTGGGCTGATCGTTAAGGCAAGGTTCCCAGTGGAACTCCGAAGTCAAGCATCACTGGCTGCGGTCGGTGTGCGGGTGGGTGACCACTTGGATCAATCTACGAAGGGACCGAGGTGTGCGGTATGGGTCCTCGTTAATCTGTTCTATCGTAAATTGCTCGACTTCGCGCGCAAGTCTTTGGGCTACCGAAGCGGGGGGTGCCATCCCTTCCTCAGAGGGTCAAAATTGTGATGGCATGTCTTCGGATCATCCTCAGGGATGTTTTCCAAACCGTCGCCAATAGTCCATTGTGCAGCTCTAGTGCCACGTAAGTAAGCAACAACTGTAACAGTTTTGTAAATATGTGATTGACAAATACGTTTTCACTATTACAATTTTCACAAAAATGAGCTCAAACATTATGAAAAAAAAAATTAAAAAGTACACTCGGTCTGTGTTAAAATATGTCGTATCAGAATTTCGTGGTTTTCCTGTTCGTACAACCCAAATAAGATTAAATTCATAACAAAATTATCTCACGTAAATCTTCATGCGTTATTAAGAGAAGGAGGAAGATAAGGTCACTTATTTTTGTTTTTTTTTACAGAGTGTTTCATCAAAGTTAATTCAATTAAAAGATATATGAAAATTTTACTACAATAATGAGGTTTCCTATTCTATTGAGATAAAATTAAGATATGTTTTTGATATTATGATTTGATGTTATGATAATAATTTTATTTTATAATCATATCAACTTTATCTACAAATTTGTTTTTGAAAGCTTTACTTAATTTTAAATCAGCATGAAGCTTCCCTTAGATGCCTCTCCGTTCTCATTTTTCCCTTAAAAATCAAAATTTTTCGAAAAAAAAAAATTACTTTTATTTGAAAAATAATAAATGTACGGGAAAATATTATCCCATCAAGTTAAGCGCAAGTTTATAAAAAGATATCATACAAAAATAAAATGGAGATTTCGTGCAAGCTTATGAAATCAATATTTTGTACAACAATGCATAAATAATCATTATTAAATTCACAAAAAAGCACTTAAAAATGCAATAATTTAACATTTAATTTTAACAAGTATATTGTTTGTAATACGTAGCGTACAATGGATCTATCGACTTAAAATAAGTTTAATATAAACAGCATAATAATAGTTTTTTTAAAAAAAACAAGTAGTGGACGATAACTCAACAAAAGTATTTTAATTATCTCTAAAGTCAAAAAAGAAAACGTAATAAAAAAAATACTGTTAATAACGTAATTTACATTTAAGCAAGCTAATGGCACTTAAAATTTCGTATGAACATTGTTTAAATTAAGAAGTGTCTATTTTGCATGAAATTGCAAATTTTAATTGAAAAATTGAAAATAATTTGTGTCTCTACAACTATACCTAGATATTTTTTGCATGAAAGCTAATAAAAATATTTTTATTTATTTTAGAAATTCATCTATATGTAACGAAATGTCTATTTGAAGGAATGCTTTTTTAAAATGTCCAAATTTTCGCTAATTAAAGCGATGCATGCCGATCTATTCCGCGAAAGTGCTGCCTCTGAATCGTTTTTAATCGGTTTTCGGACCAACAAGGCTAGATAAAATTTGTTGCCAGTTTGTTCCAAATTAAAATCAATAAAATTTTATTTCGTGAATGCAAGCTAAAATATATGTATATATATTTTAATATTTAAAACGAAATTACGTTCATTAACAAACAGTAAAAATTCACCTCAAAAGTGAGCGAATGCTATGCTCAAAAATCATTTAAAACCTCCTTTTTTAAAAAAAAGTTAGAATCAAATAAATAGACCGCCTAAAATTTTGCGAGTTATGTCTTTACAAGCATACTCAAGACATAAAGATTGTGAGAAAAAGTATAAACTTGAACGCTCATTCACTCTAATTCACTAAAATGTCAGTTCTACCACTATGCTCTTCATATATATATAGTATGTGTTCGTTTCGATGTTGTTGACCAGGTAGAAACTTATCGATAAAATAATTCTTCTTGATTATTATAAACTGAACCCTCACATGTCCATGAGATGAACTAATAGATAAGATAATTCGAATGATAAACAATGTTCTGATAGTTCTTTCTGATCATTGTGCTAAAATTCTGTGATTGAACATGTTTTTTACTTACAGTTCAATAAATTCATTTTACCCTCACGAACGAAAAGTAATCTTTTCATGAGAAAAGATTCCGAATCAAGGAATATGGTTGCCCTTTTCTCTCTCTGTGATTTCCAATAAATTTTCCTTTAAAAGAAAATTGCATATGTTGTAGGCTAAATAAAAGTCTCCCACCAATCACATAATATTTATTCAATTTCAGTTTTTCTCTATAAATAGTAATGGTTCAATAGACCTATATTTATGGGATGGATCTTTCACGAACCGTATGCTTACAAATATTTCTTTAATAGCTTACAAAAAATATTTATAATTAAGTATATTTTAAAATATTCAAATGTATGTTTGATATATATTTTAAATGTTCCTTTATAAGAGGAACGAACTCAACTATTGAAGGGGTTTATTTAACAAACTGATGGTGGATATTCGAAGCATGTGCGATACAATCCAATCACAATTTTAGGTTCTCTAATCTGATAAATACAATTCTGCTTTATAAATATCTTTGTTTGATGGCTCAGGGGATAGAACGCTCGCCTTCCAATCAGGTGAACCGGGTTAGTTCCATCAAAAATTCCTCCAATTCTCCCAATACTTGATCCAGGAGTTTCCTTGTCTTCTGGATTCGGTTCAAAATTACCAAGGCTACGGAGTTGAACATTATTAGTCTTAAACCCAAAAAATTGGGTCGGCTGTGCAACGACAGTTATTAAAAAAAAAAGAAAAAATTCTTTGTTTACGCGTAGTTATTTTAGTATCATCCAATTCGGATTTCATTACTTAACACTAGATTGCCCAAGGAAGTCAGTTTGACTGCTCTTTAATTTCAAAATTGTGTACAACTTTTTGTACAACTTATAATTTTTTTATTGCTAATATTTACTAGTACTTAGTTATATAACTGTAAATAATATAAAAAATATTAGAAATTAATATTAAAGAAATTTCTTTACACATTAGTTATTCTTTCACAATCCAATCATTTTGACTGCTTTTGGGTAATATAGAGGTATATACTAGGCTTCAGTCTTTCTAATGTTGAACTGTAATAAAATTAAATTTTAAAAAATCTAAAATCTGACTAATGTGTAGTTTTAAATGACCTACTGAAAATCACACATAATTTTATTGCTTTACATTTTCTAGAAAAAAATACATAGAAGTTCGAATAATTATCGAACGCACTCAATCTAAGAAAGCGACCCCTTCATTTTCAATCTTTTCTGAATAATTTAGTCAGGTTTCGAACAGTCCTTTTAAAAAGTGTTCGCTAATTATGAAAATATATTTTAGCAAGTTTGTTTTCATCGGTATGTTTAATATTTTCAAATAAACATAGCAATTTCCGAAGTTATAATTTTAAAGCGAAAAGAAACTTCTTAATTCGAATACTAATACCACGTTTAAAATTTTATTAAGGACCTTAGGTATTGTGCTGTCGAATGACACAAACATGAAGAAAAAGCAAATGGAAATTTAATCTAAAAATCCAAATCCAAGTAATCGGTAACCAAGAAATCATACCCCTAGAAAGAGAAAAAAAGAAAATTATTCAACATTAGTTATTTGAAGTACTGATATCCCCTTCTGAATGAAAACGTTGAATAATTTTTATGTACATTCATTTAATATTATTTTGAATACTTTTATATTTAAATTTTCGATTCATTAATGGACATGTCTTCATTATTTTAATGAATGGAGTTGCTGATAAGATGAAATAGTTAAGAATTTAAATGACTTCATATGGAATTAAAAAAAAAAAGTTTTTTATTTCAAGTGTTGTAAGGTGGCCTGCTTCCAGACGTTTTGGGAAGCAAGGCACATGGACTTCCATAAGTGTGCCATAATCTGCGTAGACGCTTTGCGGATAAATTTAACTCACGGGACAATGTGTTCTTTGAAGAAGAAGTTTTGCTCTGGCCTGCGTCATCATTCTAATCACTAAAAAGAAGAGAAATAAATAATGCGTATAATACCTTTTTCTTCAACATATTTTTTTCTTTTTAAATGACGCCTAATCAATATACACATATGATATAAGATTGTAGTCAACTCCAAATACGGATTTTTTCTGAGAACTCCGATTTATGCAAAATGTTCACCGAATTTCCGTTTAAAATAATATTATTAATTAGTGAATGTTAATTTAAATTTATTTAACCTCCTGAGACTCTGGCTATGAAGAATGACTGACCATTTTTACTTAAAAATGTATAGTTTAGACAAGTAAACTCAAAACAGCAATAAAATATTTTTTGAAGAAAATTAAATTGGTTAAACTTATCGTTTTAATTATTTTTAATGTTAACATAAAAAATGATAAATTTTAATTTTTGGCATTTTTTTTGCGTATTCTAGGGCATTTTTATTGTATATTTCTTCCCATTTTGGCCAAAATACAAATTTCATTAGACTCTAATAAAATATTTGTCAACCATAAAACTTTCTAAAATCTTATCTGAGTCGAATTTCTTACCTTTCAATTAAAATTTGTGCCTAACTTTAGTGTGAATACTTTTAAACTATGAAGTTTACTAGCAAACTAATTCCTCCAACATTCAATTAAAATATCAAATATATTAATTTGCATACATATGTAACTAATATTAGTCAGTACGTCACAGTTATGTGTACAGGGTTTGGACAGAATAATAGAAACACTTTTATACTAACAAATTTTTTAATATTTTTCAGAAAATACTTATTTAATCTGTTTATAAATTGAAAAGTGTTTAGACCATGCGATTTCTCAAACATATGAATGAAGTTTAAAGCTTTTTGAGGTTTGAGGACCGATAATAAATTACAAGCGGAAAAAAATGTTTTTGAACACTCTATGACAAAAAATATAAAGTTATATTAGTGACCTATAACTATTATTTTGGTTATTATATGCAATAATCGCACAAAATTTCGTCAACCTAGCTTTAATATTTATAGAGATATTGACATTTTTATAAAAAAGGAATTTTTTGGTCTCTCGTTTTTTTTTTTTTTTTTTTTTTTTGCTATAACTTTGAAAATATTCAATAAAATTAAACAAAACTTTTGGATCAATTTAAAATTGAATACGAAATTAGTGCTTAAAAATGTGAGAAATTCGTTAAAAAACTGCTTAAGTATATCAGTAGTTCTATTATACTGCTCATGAGCAGAAAAATTTTAGAAAAATGTTTATCTTTATTTTGTAGTGAATCGTATTTGGCAACTGATAAAAAAGTCCGATTTGAATATTTTAAAAATGTAAAAAGTTCCAAGCAATTTCCTATGTAAATTTCTCACTTTTTAAGAGAAAGCTCAAAATGATAGGGTGATTTCCACAAATTTCATTTTGTACTATTAAGCAAGATTTTTTTAAAAATGACATCGGTATTGTTGAGGATCGTTAACCATAAACGTTTTCTTTCTTTTTTTCTTTTTTTTTTCGCTTGCTTTATTTTCTACTTTGTTGTCCGGAGCATCGTTCGTTAGATGGGTATTATCATTGGTAAATAAATATTGTTTAATAGAACAAAAGGAAATTCGCTTCAGTACTGTAGCAAAAACAGGACTTAAAAATTCCTCTATTTACGCTTCTAACTCCATTTACGCTTCTGTTTTCATATTTTGTAATCTGGCAATCTTATTACGAAAATATTTTAAATCCTTCTTGAAAGACTCCCGTACATGTAAGTTCGTTTGAGTTCGCTACTCGCCTGATAAATTTTGTTTTGTTTTTTCTTTGCATTTTATTTTCTGTTTGATATATTTTTTACTTAATGTGTTTTATTTTCGTTTCAATTTTTTTGAAAGCTCCTCACGCTACTGTATTGATAACGTGAACGTGGTTTCGGACAGATTGTATCGAAACTGTGGAGCCTGTAGCCATGCGAATGCGTTGTTGAAGAAGAGTGGCATTCATATTTCGGTGTCTCCGAGCTGTTAGATTTAAATAACGGTCTTCATTGGGCGTTGCAGCACCTCTGCGCTTACCCTTATCTTCAACTTGCATTTCCAGTATTTAAAAGAAAAAAAAATTATACACTCGACTAACTGACCAAATATTGATATTTCGACCAAATATTAAACGTGCATACATATACATATATTGATTTTGTTCTTTATCAATTTATATATGTATGCAGGGGTCTGTCCAGACATTTTGTGAGAGGTCCGGTTTTCGTGAAATTGTGAAAAAATTACTCACATTCTTCCGGGTCCGCTTTTATGAATTTGTGCAAATACGGTCCGGTTATTGCTAAAAACTTTTTCAAGGAGTTTTTAAATTGTAAATAGATATAAGATTATGCTCAACACTGTAAAATTATAATTAAAAAAATGAAATTTTCGAAAATAAACAACAATTGCTCTTTCTAAATTAGAGATGCAACTACAAATATTTGGCATTTAGCCTATACTGCTGAACGCAGAATATTCATTTCGAACGAATAATGGAAGAATCGTCTGCCGAAGACAAAACTCGATTCGTTTACATCCATCTTTCTTGTTTTCTACCCTGGGAAGGGTTTATTCGATTAACAAAGCAATAATGAGGATAAACAAATTTGTGAAGGGTCCGATTAAAAGAAAAATCATTTTNGAAAAAAGGGAAAAAGAATAAAAATAATTTTAAGAAAAATTCCGAAAAAAGGAAAATTAATAAGAATCCGGAAAATGAAAGATATAATCTTTTCATCAGCTCACACGATTATATCCGCAAAAAGGAGTACTTTCTAATTTTATATCAATATAGCCAAGCCAAAATATATAAACGCAATAGTGTGGGGAACACTCAAAAAAATTTTACAAAAAATTTACTATAAATAAAATAATTGAGTAAAAATATCACGTATAAACAGGGAAAAAAAAAACAGAATAAAACATAAAACGAAATCTATAAAGCGAGTAGCGAATTCAAATGAACTTACACGAACAGGAAATTTTTCAAGAATGATTTAAAATATATTTTCGTAACAAGATTGCCAGTTTACAAAATAGGAAAATAGAAGCGCAAATTGTGGTAAAAGCGTAAATAGAAGAGTTTTGTTTTATAGTGCGTTCTCCCTGCAGTTCTGAAGTGTGTTTGATTTGTTAGTTACCAAGGATGGGCCCAAAAATGGATGTGCGCCATGTATTATTATACTGGATAGTTAAAGGAAGTTGACAATTAATAATTTTAGAAAATTGACTTTTATTTAAGAAAAAAACAAAATAAAATAGAAAAGAGAAAGAAACTTGAATTGCCTGGTTTGCACATAATTTTAGCCATGGATTTGCACATGGTAAAAAATTATTTAAATTAACAAAGAAGTTTTTTAATAAATTTATTTACAATAATATAAAATTAACTCCATGATTTAATATAGAATTTAATTACTTTAGTTGGGTATCCATTTTGTTTTACTAAATTTTGAAGGGGTTTGTCTATTTGTTTTTTGGATAAATAGACATTACTTCATATTCTTTTCATTTTTAATTTTCTTCGCTTTTTTTCTTTCCTTTTCATATATATAAACTCATAGCGTTCTTTTCTGGAGCATGCCTGCTCAAACCTCGTGCTCCTGTGTTATTCGTACGAAACCTCGCGCTATTTACGTCACTGTGTGGTGCCATTTGAGATTCACAGCAGATAAATTCTATAGTTTACTGTTCTATTATACCATTTATTGTTGCGCTCTATTTTTCAACTGTAGATTATTTGAAATTTTAATATTTATATTTCAGAAAATCAAATAGTTAGTAAACATTAAAATCATTATGGAACCTAAATTTTCATTTGTCTTACGTTTTTCTTTTTGTTCATTTCTTAATGTAGGTTTAATTTGTATTTAAAGCTATTTTTTGGTATATACTCAACTATAAAGATCATAGTATAATAACAAAAATGGTTAATTTTCCTCATTATGTTATTAAAATTAACTATAAAGAATTTTTTTTGCACTGGTGGAAAACTCTCTTATATTTGTGTATGTTATTCGTGTCTGAAAAGATGTGGGAAATTTTAGTAAAGGAATAGAATTGATGTTAACATATTATATAAATTGTTTCTGCAGGCTTGTATTGACAATAATCTCGAAATGGTTCAATTTCTCGTCGAGAGAGGTTGCAATGTAAATCAAGGTGATAATGAAGGATGGACTCCTCTTCATGCAACAGCTTCGTGTGGTTTTCTAAGCATTGCCAAGTAAGAATTTTATTACCTTTATTTCTATGTGACTTTACAAGAAATCAAACAGACTATAAATATTTCTGTCATCCTCAAGGTTTATTATGATGATTTCAAAAGTTATAGAAACATATTACACTAACAGAGGATATCTGTAAAATTCCTATTAAATCTTAAATTATTAAACATGGTCTAAAAAATAGGGTTGGGTAAAAGTTTGCAGCAACTGCAACCCCATCAAAGTGTTTGTTAATTTATTATTAAAATTTTAAAAAAAGCAAAGTGTAGATGCGCTTGGTTCGCCTAATGGTTAACCCTTTGAGGCACACGAACATAAATTTTCATATTTTTTTAAAATTGAGAAACTAATTATGATGCTTAGGATCTAAGAATGGGAAAATGACATTTAAAAAAAATTCTGANAGGGTTAAGACATCCGACTTATAGCTGAGTGAACGATGACAACTGATGACACCTTCCTTTCTTAATGGTAAAAAATTTGTTTTTAAATTATGGTGGAAAGTTCGGAATCGTCAGGACTTTTGAAAATACTCACGTCTTCTCATTAATAGGTCTTTGAGGTAAACATACCTTATTTAAAAAAATGGCCATGAATAAATAGCCTCAATATTTAGGTAATAACATTTTGTTATTTATTAAATAGCATTTAATTAGGGAAAGAATATTTTCTCTGATAAAATGAATGTCAATCAGAAGTATGAAAAGGAAAAGCAAGATAACTTTTAACATTCTCTTTCTTGAATGAAGGCTTGCTTTTTCTTTTTCTTTTTTTTTTCAATTTATGTGAAGCAAAGCAGATATTCAGATAAAATTAATATTAAAAAGCAAGCTTAAAAGTAGAGAGAGAAAATCAATCCTATTTAATGACAAAATATATAAGAAGCAATGAAATTCAATTAATTTTTTTAATGGAAATATTTATAATTTAAACCAAAACAAAGCTTGGGCGTAAGTGTTTCTTTCCAACATTACTAATATCATCAATTTTTATAGTTTATTCTTCTCACTGAAATTTGTTTTTCATTAACTTCTCTTTTCAACAATTCTCAAAGTTTCATCAATTCTGTCCCCATAAACACATTTAATGCCTAGTTAAAAAAATTGTAACTACTAGGTTCAAACCTTTCGACGCCGCCTCATTCTGGCAAAATTCGTTTAAAAATCACTGATTTTTTTTAGAAAATATTTATTTGTTATAGAACTCTATATAGATTCATACCACAGGGATGAGTTCGGTAAAAAGCCAAAAATTGTATATGCAGAAGCACCTTTTAAATAATTGAAAAAATTTCAAAGCAGAAAAATGTGTATGTAGCAAACATCTACGCACAGAAAGTCAATTGAACACGAATCATAAGAGTAGCTTTTAAATAGTGTGAATACGAAACACGATGGGCGATCTTAAATCGCTTAAATAGGAATTGTGATGCATGATTTTAAATCATGTGAATGTAATTTTAAATCACGTTTGTATTGGTAGAAATTTTTTTTTTAGTAATAGTTAAAATTTTTCCATCGCCTAACATTTTTTACTAGTGCTGAAACGCTTGGTGACAAATTTTCCACAAACGGCGATCGTCCATTCGTGAATATTATACAGGTCAGCTTCTAAGTACCGTCATGTGGGGCTACTTAGTGCAGGATTTCGCAGTTTTTGAACTTTGACATGTAAAAAAACTATGTTAATTCAAACTTTAGTGAAATTTATCGATATTATATTCATAACTGGACTCAGACGAGTGAATTTGATCAATATTGGCATTATTTGTATGTAATATTTACAAATAATAAGTCAAAACATACCTTGCACAAAGTAGCCCCCAAGTGGGGCTACTTTGTGCAGCGATAGGAATTCAGTTTAATAATCATGTTTTTAGTAAAATATTGATATAAAATTGTTAAAAAAGTTAATTGTTGACATTTTTAATAACAAAAACATCAAGATATGTAAAGATATTAGTTTGAAAGTAATTTTCAGCATTAAGAAACCATTTTTTGTAAAGAATTTTTTCTTAAAAAGAATGTTTATTTCAAAGCATTTGAGTTTAAACAAAAGGAAACCATATACATTTTTGAACATTGAAATGGATGAAATTTCAAAAATAATAATTATTACATATTCATTAACATTTATAACATTGATAAATTTGAACATAACATGCTGAATGAACATGACAGAACTTGCTCTTCAGTTTCTGTCAAAATCACCTGATGTCCTATAAAATATATTTTTATGTGTTAATTCATTAGAAAAATCTTTGTAGAAGAAAAATATTAGTTTACCAGCACGTTTCACGTGTTTCTTGAGAATTTTATTAGAGATAGTTTTTTTTTCCCCAATGGTTTTTGAATCGTTACCCACTGAATTTGAATCGTTGCCTATACTATGCCAGAATTGTTGCTCATTTCGCGTTACCCAGTGGGCACCTGTGAACCAAAGTTACGGAGGCGAGCAACATTGCCCACGCCACACTGCCACAACCCGTATATAGGGTGGGCCACATTCACACATCATACGCACACACAACAGAAGACAGCACAAAGAGAGAGAGAAACATCCATGCCCAGAGCGGGATTCGAACCCGCAGCCTATGGCTTCGCAGTCAGGCACGCTAACCGCTCGGCCGCCTGGCCGGCTTATTAGAGATAGTATTTCTGTGGATTTTGTACTTCCGAGAAGCTTCTGCAATCCACATACCACCAGCAACTGCTTGCGAACATTGCTGCAGCTTTTCTAAAGTGTAATCACGGTAGTTTCTCGTTCCAGGTATTTTTTTTATAACGTCTGACAATTTTTCTGTCGAAAAAGAAAACGAATGAACTTTGCACAAAGTAGCCCCACAGTGCATTTTTTTCTTCATTTTCCGTTTATTTGTTATTAATTTTCAAATTTTTTTAACGCTAACATGATATAATTGTTTATTAATATATAAATGAAATATTTTGCACTTACGACAATTGTTTTATCAACGTCTTTGCATTTCACAGCTAAAGTTTCCACGCACACTTTCCGACGTTCTCGGAAAGTTGTTGACATTGGATAAACAAAACACACTCTGAGATTGTTTTAAAATTCGAAAATTTTTTTGTAGTTATAGAGGAGACTTCTATTTTCAAATTCCACACATTTTTAATGTGAAAAAAACATAATACTGAATAGCAGCACTTGAAAAGTGCCAAATTCGAATTTGATTTATAGGTTAAATTTGATATTCATTTCTTTTTTAAAAAAATATCGAATTCTTTAACATATCATAGTTCTGTAGTAGAGTATTCCCACAACACAATTTTGTAACATAACATAATATCTCCCTTTTCTGATGAAGATTAAATATACTAGTCTAGGGGTGCACAACCTGCCCGTGAGAGCTTCTAAACACAATGGAAAAAAAATGTCAACATTTTTTAATCGCACTTTTGAGTCATCACGTTTTGACACAATCAATTTTAACAGATTCTATAGTAGTAAATGTATGTTTAACGCGCTTTCTTTACGCTGATTTTATCGTAAATATAAATGATTTTTTGAACAGTTATTTCAACGTGATCTCGAAAATCCCGAATTTTTATTACGATATTATTACGACACACGAGTTTCAGATTGGCCATTTAAATAATCACTTTTTGGTGCAATTTATTTGTGACAATTTCATTGGAAATCTAAGTGTTTTTTTCATCTTTTTTTTGCAATTCTTTCTTTCTTCCAACTATTTTTTTCGACAGTTATTGCTAATTCAGTTATTGTTCCCACGTACTATAAAAAATTCTGATAATTTTATTACGACATGAGAATTTTAAATCGCGCATTTGGCACGCTTTATTCGTGCTGAAGTTCAACATAAATTTAAGTTTTTTTTTTTTTTTTTTTTTTTTTTTTTTTTTTTTTTTTTTTTNTTTTTTTTCAATTATTGCTATAATTTTCCTGTGATTTTGACGATCCCGTTATTTAACTAAGATGTTATTACGACACGCGAATTTCTAATCACACATTTAAATAATCGTTTTTTGATACGGTATTTCGGTACAGTTTCATCGTAAATTCTAATTATTTTTCCTTCGTTTTTTCAGCGACGAATATGATTTGGTCGAATATGGGAATGAATTGTAATTTGGACGAAAACCGAAAAAATGCGGCAAAAAAAAAAAAAAAAATCGACCGAATACTGTATATTTGGGGTCAAATAGCAACATTTTTAGCTGCATAGCAACACTGAAATCAAAATTTCAATGCTAAGAATAATGTTTTCTGGAAAAACGTATAAAAAATAAGGCCTATATGGATCGCTTTTGAAAATCCTGCGCTATCATAAAAACTAAAGATTATATACAAAAGCGATACAGAGAGAATAAAAATCTATCTTAATTTTCGAAATAAAATTTTTAAGTTGAACAGTTTTCCAATTACCAGAAAAAGTCAAGTCTAACAGAAATGCTCTTAAAAGTTACCGCGTTATAATAAAAACGTCCATAAAAAGTTTTTATTTTTATAAAAAAAAATTTTTAAAAATCTGCATAGAAACAAAAAGCGTTCCTAATTTTTTAAATGAATTTACTTATGCTGAAATTTTCAGTTAAAATCTTTCACCTTGCCATATTTTTATAAGAAAAAAAAATTGCTATAAAATAAAGTTTATTAGTAACGTTCATTAAAAAAAATGCTGTGACATAATAAAAATGCCCATAAAAAGAAAAACAGAAAAAACAAATTGTTTTTAGTTCCGAAAACAAAACTTTAACATTGAGAATCACAGTTTTCTATGTTACTGGTTATTTATATTACAGTGCAGGGAAAAAGTAATAATAAATTATTAGCATGAGACATTCCGTTAAAATGTTGTATTATACTAATAAAAGCATTAAATTAAAAAATTTAAATAATTAAATAAAAGAATTTAAAAATTAAAAAAAATAATGCTCACTGCTTAGAATTAAAAGTATCGAAAAAATGACAAAATTGACTTGTCTGAATGTAATATTTCTATATTTAAAAAAAATAA